GTAGAGTATCACACTACGGCCAACACCCGGTCTATTTATAGAGGCCATTAGCTGACCAACAGGCCACAGGCCGCAGTATCATCATTAATGGCTCACATGGACTGAGCTCCAATGCCGTTCGTTCGATTTGTGCCCATGTTTATATTTATTAATGTTCAATTATCGATAATTATCTGTTTATCTATATGTATATACGTATATATTAATGTCTTTGCGGCCATTACAATACCTCAGCACAATTTCTTGTTTGCCGAGACCAACTCTATGCATAGCTATACCTATATGTATCTATGTATGTGTAAATATTTCTGTTAATGTATTTCTTCGCTTTGTTAGGCTGATTGAAATGCATTCAACATTGACCTCTAATCGATATTTTGCTGGATTTTAACAGAAGTTAGTGCTTGTTGGGATATTTGTAATATTATTGCATTTAACATATCTGAAATAAAGACGTGTGCCTTTGGCAGCTGATTCATTAATTGATAGTTGTGAAATGTCTTTATGACGTCAACTGTGTATGCAGGTGTTAATTTATTTTTCACAATATTTTTAGCAAAATTATAAGGTGGTAAATTGATAAATCTGTCATAGAATTGTCACAATTTTTTGCATCTTATATATATATATATCTTATAGACTTGTAATTGGGTATCCCAAATTCTCTACCATTCAATTAACAAACTTAACTACAACTAGCCCTGGTAATACTCTTTACGTGAAATCAAAAGGCTGTTGATTCCTACAGATTTCTAGTTCTCAGAAAAAACAAACTAGCTCATGATGTTAATTGAAGTATGAAAGCATAATCTGCCCTTACCGTACTATGTATTCCAGAGCTCTTCAATTGAAAAACATAATACTTCATAAAATCTTCACGGGTTCCTAATAAATTATGCCTATATTAATCCACTAAATGTTTATTTATAATAAAGTAAATGAATTAAAGCAAATAGTTTGTACAATATATGTATATAGATTTATGATTTTTGAATATATGATTTTTATGATTTATGTATATAGATTTATAGATATATGTATATAGATTTATGTATTATTTATAGATTAGATTTTATGCTTCATAGCCTGGGCTACTTTAAAGATCTATTATACTTTAAAAGCACCAAAAGAGAAAGAAATATAATCATATACGAGTTGATATATTAAAATCAAAGTAATTGATATTCAAGCAATTTATAGCATTTTAGATATTTGATTTTATGCTACACAGCATAAGCTAGCTTAAAAATCTGATTACTCTAAAAGCCCCAAAAGCAGAAAATTATATATGCACATATTAATCAAATAAACATGCAGATACAGAATAATAATCAATGAAATTGATAATTGATTGATCTATTTATAGCCAGAGTCTTAATAGATACCGCTATGTAACCCGTTGCAATTGAGTTACATTTTAATTATGCATTGATAGCTTGAGTGTATATCGAGACGCCCATAGATTTATTTCTATGCAGAAATTGGCCAGCAGCTTGGCCAGCAGCTGGACGGCAGACCGTTGCTGGCAATGGCCAAGTGAAGATGCCCTGGTCCCGGTGCGCCCAAAGCTCAGCTTATTGTTGTTGCTGCTGCTGTATCATTGTGCAAACAATTTGCTGCGTTTCATGTTACGACTTGGGCAGCATAAAACCAGTCGACCGAGCCCGAGACCGAAACAGAAAGCAGATGATGGCCACAACCAGCCGGCGCGCAGGTTGGCCCAAGAAGAAGTGGAAAAACGAAAAAAAAAGTGCATCGAAGAAATGCCAAACTGCAATTGACTTGCATGACCATAAAAATTAAGTTATATACACCAAAGCAGGCTGCCGAGTCCAGTGCAGAGCAGCCCAGTCCCAGTCCCAGTCCCAGTCCCAGCCAGCTCTGTTTGGCTGCTCCCATCTTCTGCTCTCGCAGTGCCCTCGCCTCTGTTCCCGCCAAAGCGCAAAAATAAAGTCCAGTGAAATTGCTGCTGTAATATATTTTAATAGCGCAGCGGCCGGAAAAACTCGGTACGAACTCGAAACTCGAACTCGAACACAAAGTCGTAGACGGACTTGCTTTGTTCAGTTGGTCAGCAGCAGCAGCAGCAGCAGCAGCAGCAGGCAGCAGTGCGAGCCAGGGCCAGTTGCTGGCAAACAAAGCTCAGTTGACCAGACCTTTTGGCCAGCAAATTTCGCTCGGTGCCTTATTATGTCTAATTAGATTGTGTTGCCAGCAGCCGATGGTGTTGTTGTTGTAGCTGTTGCTGGAATGTTTTATTGTAAGTTTTCGTTGGCATTTCCTAAAAAAAAAAAAAAAAAAAGAAGCGAAAATCGATGCTGAAAGCGGGGTTAATCTAAGGTGGCACAATGAGTTAATCCCAGCTTCAGATCTAATGCTCACTGAGGCACTCGAATCGAACGATAACAACTTCAGAAACTTCGAGCTTCGAAGAAGTTTAGCTTGATCAAGCCCTAATGTTGGCTAAAGTATTTTATCTCTGATGTGTTTGTAATTGTAATTGATTTATGTGAATTCCTCATGAAAGGTTTAGAACTACATATAAAAGCTTAGGATTATAAAGATTTTTTCTATCATTTTGAATTTATTTTGGAATTTTATAATTAATAATAAAAATACAATTTTGGTATATTATTATATTATATTATATTTGGTATATTATTATATATATTATATTATTAATTACTACATATTAAATTTTCTTTTTTGCACATTAAAATAATTTATATTTAAATAAATTTTATTTTCACTTATTTCCCATTTAAACCTCTTTATGTACGCAAATTTCTTACAAAAAATTTATACTTATTTATTTACATAAATACGGATGAGAAACCATAAAACATGGTCTTCTGTTTTCTGAAGCCTTTTTTGATAGGGTTATTAAAATAATTAGTTTATAATTGAGTACGTAATCTTCACATAATTCCTGAAATCACAATTCCTCTTAAAGCCTTTACTATTCTTGGAAATTTATGCTTACGCTGAGCTGACATAATTTAATTAGCAGCTTCAGAGTAGTTCCCTAGCTTTTTATGTCTATTATGTAGTGGCAAAAAAGTCGCATTTATTAAGAATTTTAATTTGAATATAACATACAAAAATGTTGGAATATTAATTGCGTATTAAATATGGAATTGCCTTTAAGCCAAATGTGAAGATGCTGTTGATGTTGTTGTTATCACTTGTTAGCCCTCAAGCCACGCTTAACCTGTTTCAATAAGCAGCCTTATTAGATATTCACATTTCAATGAGCAGTCGATGGACCCAAACTCTTGACCCAAGCTCCATCCATCAGTCATCTTGGAGACGCTGTTGCCAGACAAACAAAATTTGACATGGACAACAAGAGAGGGGGGAAAAACCATTTATAAACAATTGAAAATGGCTAAAACGTGTGTCGCATTTCTGTGCCAATTGGCAAATTGAATACTCGTAAAAATTCTCACGTTTCGCTCCAAATTTTGATGGTAGCACTCGGTCGGTCGGTCGCTCGGTCGACTGCTCAGTCGCTGCCTCTTGTGCTTTGCATAGAGCGAGTGGGGGCTTAGCGGGGCCATAAAACCAACGCCAGCCGAAGAACCCGCCAAGCAACCCACTCACAAGTGCCAGCTAGCCAGCCATTGAACTCTCTGTACACACACGATTATTACGATAGCAAATGTGACCATAAAAGAGAAGAGAGCTCTCTGGCTCGAGAACCGAAACCAAAACCAGAAGACTTGTTGCGAAGCGCGCGCCTGTGCGAGCTTCAATGATTTTTATCAAATTGGCCCGCGGGCAGTGCGAAAGCTTGACGAGATTCTTATTCTGATTCGAGATGCTGATTTCCCTCACTCACAGTCACAGACTCAGTCTCAGTCTCAGTCACAGTCTCAGTCACAGTCACAGGCTTCCTGTGCGTGTGGCATTGCAGATGGATGCCTTGAGGCGCTTGACTTGAGCACTTGGCCACCGAGCTATGCAAATTTATCAAAAAATCCAGTCCCATATGCTGGTGTCATGTCCCAGAAACACAAAAACCAGTGGCACTTTAGTTTTATTCTTTTTGTTTCATTATATATATTTCTATAGAACCTGCTGATAAAATCGCCTAACACAGCAGCCCCCACGCTGTGGATTGCGGGCGGTGGGGAGCGGCGAGGGGCGGGCCATCAGTCAAGACAGTGCATTGAACTTGAAGCATCTCGCAGTTTTCACTTCAATCCATCAGCAACGCGACGGCGGCCGCTTCCAATGACGCGTGTAAAATGTCGGGGCGCGTGTGCCCCCGGGGGAGCCTCTAATGAATGGGCCAGCTCCAACTTCAGCTCAGGCAACAACAACTACACCAACAACAACAACAGCAACAGCTACTTCTTAAAAGCAACCGTACAATTTGTATTCGAATGATACGTTTTTACGGCCCTAATGAGCACACGCAACAGCCACAAAATAACGTCAGAAAAAAAAAATAATAATAATAATGTATATAAAAAAAAAATAAATAAAAATTTCAGCAGCGAATGAAATGCGAATTTAATACGCACAATTCGCCAATGCAGACAGTTGGCCCTTAATCACTTCTCGTACGTTTTCTTCGAAAGTGTCAAGAGATTTAGCCAAATTTATGGATATTCACTTTTGTTTACTTAACGATCGTTGCGTGCTGCACACACAAATTTTTTAAATTTTTTAAATTTAAATTCCAGTTCAATGATTTGACATCGATTTTATGCTCTTTTTGTGGGTAATTTGAAATTTTGGTAGTTTTACTAATGGGCCAAAATATGCTTTACAAATTATCTTGGCCTATTCTCTTCCCGTTCTACTTCTATTTTTTGCCTGTCTCTCAATATTTCAGTTGCTTTTTATATCTGTATTAATTATATCTCCATTCACTATTATCTATATACTTATAAATAAATGTCTCAATTGCTAAGAGGTTCGACAGATAGTCGCAATTGTTATTATTTATAGTCTATTTAAAGTGGATTTTAATATAAAACGCATAAAAAATATTGAATTCTAAAAATTCTTTGTATCGCTTGGTTCTATTTATTCTTGCTCAGAAAATAAAATTGTGTTTGGCTTATCAACAAATCAGGTAAATTAAAGACAAAATTTGAAAGAAGAAATTGATTGATATTTTCTTTGATTTGCTAATAATGAATATGGACAAATTTAAGGAATAGAATATTTTAACAGTTTTCTGCCTTAACTCAAATGATAATGAAAATTTGAAATGATAGACTTTCTAAAAGTTATATATAAGTTCATTCATTTTAGCTATAGTTATAGGCTTTAATTATGTAATAGTTCTGCCTAAAATATATGATCATCCCGTAATATGAGCTCTTCGATGGTCGTGTGTTCCACATGAGCGAAAAGTATTTGGCATCGTTTTAAGCACTTTTCATTTCCCTTGTCTGACAAATTTAATAAAAATATTATCTCTCATAATTATTTTTTTCGTGGACATTATTTACCTGAGGCAACGCAAACGTTGCGTAATTAATGTGGGAATCTCAACTAATTGTTGTTAATTAAATTTCTCGTGGCACTTTAGGCAAAGTAGCCAACATAAAAAAAAAAACCAAACAAATAAAAGTAAAAGAGAAGGAGACAAAAGTAGCTAATTTCACACTTCCTGTTCTACGGCATTTTATTTTTTATTTTTCATACTTTTTTCCACTCTGACTAATGCTGACGACACTTGGTCCGTTCGGTTTGCTCCGGAAAGTCGTTGCACTCGCATTTTAAAAGGCAAACAAGAATGAAAAAAAGTCAATGCAAAACTAGTTATTTTGTTCGTTGCGGTTGCAGACCGCAAATTACGTTTCAAATGTAGAATGAAGAGCAATAGAGTGAGAGTCCCGTCTATTTATTAGACGGTGCTAATTAGTAATTGCAAAGATTGATAAGCTGCTGCTGCTGCTGCTGCAGGTGCTGCCACTTCTGCTCCAAAGGCAAACAGTTGCCAATCATTCACAACTGGCGCAACATTCATGACGTCCACTCGCACCCACGATAAGGTGCAAAGCGTCAGCGAGTGCCAATGCAAATAGCGCAATGGGCAAATCTTTTGCTTTTCATAGCTATAAGAACACTTGCTCTCCAGATAAGAAACAGTTCGTTGCAGACCATACGGAAACGTGTTCAAGTTGAACAACAGACAAATAAAGTTTACACTGCAGATTTCAAGATTCAATTAACAAATTGTGATCGGTTCGCGTTGCAACAAAATATCGTGTAAGTTGTAATTAAATTATAATTTTGGTTTGCAACAAATTAGAAATCAATTACATGGATTCTGTTATAATTATTTAGCATTGCCAACTGCAAAGTGTGATAAAAATATTGGATTGCATGTAGAATGACTTCTAAATAATTCATTTACAATTTGTTTTAAAACTCTGACAATGGAGTCGAACAAGGGGTAAGTTGATTTTAACTCGAAGGAATGTTAGTTAATTTTACAACAAATATTACATCATTTATCAAGAACAATTACAAAGTGGTATATATAATTGTATTAGAATACATGTGGAATGAGTTGAAAATAATTTATTTTGGATTTGTTCCTAGAAATATTCGAATGAAATTAATACAAATTTTGTTTACAACAAATTCCCAATTCGAATGAAATTAGAATTCATTTTACAATAAGTTGCAGGAAAATTAGACTTTAATTTTACAAAATTAATACTTATAAACTGTGCACTGAGTAATACTTAATTTAATGTTAAACTAGAAAGAATTTCATTGTTCTTAAACTAAACATTTAATGAAGTCCTATAATTAGTTTTTCGATTATTCACTTTTTGGCGAAGAAGCTCGTGATGCTGCCCTGCTTCACCTTGGGCGTCTCCTTTGCGCTTTTCCCAGCTGCCGGCGGTGATTTTTTCTTTGTAGCTGGCGCAGCGGCTGCAGTCGCTGCTGTTGTAGTCGACGAAGCCTTCTTCTGAGCTGGTTGCTTTGGTTTCTTGGCCTTTACTGTTATGACAAAGCCATCATCATCCAGAAATGTTTCATTTGTTGCCGCCTCCACGTCCATTGGCTCTTCCTCTGCCTGCCCCACCTTCTGCTCCTCCTGTTGCGGCTTTTGCTTCTCGGCTTTCTTTTGTGGCTGCTCCTCATCATCGGAGTCGACAATGCGACGACGCTTGCTGCTTGCCCTGTGCTTTGTCTGTGCCTGTGCGTCCGTCTCGTCTGACTCGTCACCTGAACCAATCACAGACCGTCGCAGTTTGTCTAGTTTTTCCTCTTCATCCGACGAGACTTCGCTTTCCTCAGCAAACAGCTGAATGGAGTTATTCTTCTGTTCGGGCGAAGCTTCCTTTGGTGCACTGTTAGACTGACTGCTGCTCGCCCTTGGTTGCTTCTTAAAGAAGTTGTCCATGCTGCCTGCAGTTGGCTTGGCTGCAGCTGCTTTTGTTTCCTTGGCTGGCTGCGATTTGGCAGCTGGAGCTGCGGAAAAGAAGCTGCCGATGCTGCCCTTTTTCGCTGTGGTTGTTGTTGATTTCGCTTTACCCTTTTGTTCACTAGGTGACGTTTTCTTCTGCTCCTCGGCCTTTGAGGGCTCTTCCTTGATGTTGGCGGGCTTTGGAGTCTCTACTGGCTCGTGAACACCATTGCTTACGCCATTAGTTAATGGTTTAACGCCTGACCGCTGCTCCACCTTTGCCAGCTTCACCTCCATATGCTGCATGGGCTTGAAAATGGGCGCAGCACTCTTGGAGCCGCCAGCCACCTCCACGGAATACAGGTGGTATTGCGAGTTTTCCAATTTGCTTAGCCATTCCTTTAATTTGTCATCGCCTTGCACAATCGTATACAGCTCGCCCTCATCATTTGCCAGTGTGCCATGCACCACAAAGCGTTTCTCGTATTTAATAGCACTCGACTTTTCCTGCTGTTTAATATGCGCCTCAAGCTTATCGTGCGCCTCTTTGTACGTCAATTTGTACTCTTCCAGTAAATCGGTGACCAGCACACGTCTGTCGAAGTCGATTAGGCAATCATCCAAAGCTTGTTGCAATGACATTTTCGGAGTGCTCACTTGTGTAGTGTATATAATAATAATATTATGAAAATTTTGCAAGCAATTGAATAACAAGAAATTAATGCGGCAACCGCAGCAAAAAAGGCGCCGACACAAACAGCTGTTGAAACTTACTCAAAATGGTAATTGAGATGTGCGATACTTAAAAAAATACTCATATTACCTTAACAGAATGTTAGATGTAACAGAATGTTATGAGCAACAGCGGCGCTGGAATTGCTAACAGTGCTCATGAGCAGTGTTGCCAGATTAGCTATTTAATAGCATTTTTAGCTATTTTTGAACCATAAATGCTATGAAAATTTTGAAAATGCTATTAGCTATAAATTTAGCTATTTTACAAACGAATATTTTGAATTTGATTTTAGTATTTAAAGCAAAAAAAAAAAAAATCTTTCGATTAAGTCCCAAATTGTACGTAATGATCTGCGCGATACTACCACCACGACTTTGTCGTACTTATACCATCACTAGTTGTGAATTTATACCATCGCTAATTCTTCTTGCGCAGCAATGGCAAATGCTGCCATGATTATACCGTGCCTTCCAAATATTTAAAAATGATTCCAGTTAATCAAAAATATAATTCTGATGATGATTTGGATGTGGACCAAATTGTAACATTATTAAATAACATTTAAAAATAAAATTTAAAGTAAATGCATAATGCATAAAGGTTTCAGCTATTTTGTAAGCTATTTTAAAATTTGTTTAGCTATTTTCAGCTATTTTTTAGAGACGATTTTGCTATTTTTATGTCTCAAAACCTGGCAACACTGCTCATGAGCGATTGGGCCAGAGATGGCAACGCTTAGTATTTTGTTTATAGTACCATGGTATTAACATAGATGGCGCTTGAGCTAAGAGAAATGTTACTGCCTAGTGGTTTAACAGAAAGTAAACAGTGTTTGTTAGTAGTTGAACAACAGTGGCACAGCTTGTGAATGGCAAGTGCTCTTTGGTACATAAATGAAAATATAGATGGCGCTCTGCTTACAGTGATGTTATTGTTTAACTGTTTATAATTTTGAATTAATCAGTGTTTTAATTTAATTAACTATAAACAATAACAATTCTATTGTTTCAGCTTTAACATGCGCTTTGAGCCGCTGGGTCAGAAAATGTTCACACGCCGCAACTGGCTGCTGCGGTGCAGCATTCTCATAAATGTGGCTGTTCTGCTCTACATCGGCTGCATCCTGATGAACGGCGGAGGCAACAATTTCACCAGCGGCGGCGGATTTTTGCTGCAGGAGCAACAGCCGCCGGCGGTAGCCTCATTACAGGCGGCTCCACTGCTGCCACAGCAACCGCCCACGTCCAAAAATGTAAGTGTGTGTGTATGGAGTAATCCAACTATGGAAGTTTATTAAATTCTATCCTCTTTCCATAGGCAGAGGCGGCTTTTGCGGAGGAGAAACTCTTGGCCGCCGGCACAGGCAATGCCAATTCAGAGTCAGCAGCAGCTGCAGCACCTCCGGCCGCAGTAGTCAACGACAGTGGCTTGCCTTCCAATTCAGTGGATCCTGTTCAGGTGGTTGGCAACATTGGCAGCAGCAGCTCAATGTCAGAGCTGAACAACACACAGCCGGATAGCTACATAGTTACCGGCGATGAGAAGGAGTTGGATGAGCGCGTGCGGACTCTGCTCAATTGCTTTGATCGCGATTATAATCAGCAGACGCTGCAACGCGGCGATTTCTGGGTGCTCCAGAACTATGTGAGAGCCGATCATGGCGAGATCAAGTGCCACGAGTCCATTACCTATACAACGCATGCGGATTACACCTTTCTGGACAATCTGGTGCCGCTGCTGCAACGGTGAGTGATCCGATCAGAAGGAGTCTCTTTGATATATTCTAATATTTTGATGATCTGCCCCCTCTCGCAGCTGGAATGCGCCCATTAGCATAGCTATGCATGCGCCCGGCACGGACTTCCAGCCCACGCTGGACTCCATCAAATATTTGCGGGATTGTGCGCCCGATAATCAACTGGTGCGCGCCTATGCCACCTTCCACGTTTACTTCGGCACCAAACACATACCCAAGAGCGTGCCCAAGGCACAGGATGCTCTGAAGACTGGCTACAACTGCTCGCTGCCGGCGCCCTACTTCAATGTCAGCTCCGGGCACTTGTACAAGGCGCAGAAGAAGCTGCTCTACCCGGTCAATGTGGGTCGCAACATTGCGCGTGATGCCGCCCTCACACACTTCATCCTCGCCTCGGATATTGAACTGTATCCGAATCCTGGACTGGTCAAGAAATTCCTCGAGATGATTGCTCGCAACGAACAGTATTTGAGGCGCAAGGCGCCCAGGTGAGTACTCGATAGATTTTTAGTATTATTTTTAAATATTTTTATTGAGAATACATATGTATATATTTTATTAAATAAATTAAAGTAAAGTAAGGTAATTTGATTTTCTGCTTTTATGATTATTTTTTTTATTATTTAAATTGATTTAATTTTCAAATAATGGAAACTTTAAATTATTATTATTTTTTTTTTCAAATATATATATAAATTATTTGTGTTTAACAATTTTTTATAAATTGTAATGTCTCAAAAAAACTGTTAAGAAAACATGATATTTATTTTATTAACATTATCGTTTAGCTGTTGCTATAATCAGAAATCCAGTTTAATTTACCCCACAAAGAGAATGAAAGCATACAGCAGCTTGAAACTTATGTCGAGATATTGACAGTTATTTATATATTTCAGAGTTTAATATTAAGCTTAATGTCAAGTATATCAATTCAAACTCTAATGATATGTATGCTTTCGCAGAGTTTTTCCATTGAGCATATTCGAGGTGGATGAGAACTCTCCGGTGCCGCACGATAAGACGGAGCTGCAAGAGTTTCTGCGCACCGGGAAGGCCATTCCCTTCCATAAGCGGGTGTGCGCCAGTTGTCACGGCGTGCCCAAGTCCAAGGAGTGGATGGCGGCCAACGAGACGGACGAGCTGAGTGTGTTTCACATAGGCAAGCGCACCGGCTACTATGTGCACTGGGAGCCCATTTATATTGGCACCCATGCGGATCCCCACTACGATGAGCGGCTCAGCTGGGAGGGCAAGAGCGACAAGATGACGCAGGTAAGCACGCTGATCTCCTCATTGCAGTCGCAGCTGTATTCAATCTGATTTGCGCAGGGTTACTCGCTGTGCGTGCTGGACTACGAGTTCCACATACTGGACAATGCGTTTCTGGTGCACAAGCCCGGCATCAAAGTGCTGAAGAAGGACAATCGGCGCGCGATGCTGGCGGGCAAAACGAATCAGCTGATACGCAAGATCATCTATCCCGAGCTGAAGATCATGTACGGCATGCGCAAGGGCTGTGCGATATAGTAACTAATCATGAAGCGCAGTTGAGCGTCGACTTCTTCAAGACTGCAGCAGCAGCTGCAACAGCTGCACAAGCAAAAGCAGGAGGAGCGAAACACACTATTTATATTCGCAATGCTATAGAGAGCGAGAGGGACTGCATCGAATGGCCATGCCATGCTAATCTGTCCTTCTATCCTACGTATATATATATATATATCTATTCTATTTCCTAGAGGCCCTTCCTTATGGCGCGCTCGTCTACGTGTACGTGTGTGTGTGTGTATGTGCTTGTGTGTACGTATGTGTGTGTGTGTTTTACAGTTAGTATTAGTTAGTTAGCTTAGGCCAAGAGAATTACTTAGGTTTATGGACGAGTCGAGTTCGGAGCGGGTGTTTTTTTCTACTCTATATGCATAAGCGAAGCCTTAGGAGCACGGCTTAAGTACGTTAAACGTAGTTAGTTATTGTTGTTTCTTTTTTAAATGCTGAAGATAATTAGAGTTAGTTAGTTAGCCGGAGCTGCCATACAGCTGAAGAGTTTCTCGAGGATTCTATAGAGCTCACATCATTTCCATGCAATGCAGCCTCCATACGATTGCAGGGAAATCCAATCTTTGCAGTCGCACACGCTGCATTGGCAGTCATTATGATTTAGTTCTACTTCCAATTATCGTTTAAGCATCATTAATGTAATTTCATTATAATTTTAATTTCGTACTTCCCCTTAACTATGTTTTCATAAGAAATAAAGATGATAAACCCGTTATTGTATATCAACTGCCATTGAATGGTTGTTAGGTTGATTTGCTCTTCGAGACATATAGAAATTCCTAGCCACAATAGTCTAACCATTTATATATCTAAATATATGTATATGCTATGTAGGCCAACATTTGGGGCCGTCTACTAGGCCGAACTTCTCAGAGTTTAAGTTGCGAAGCGAATATACGGACGAGGGCAACAAATAGGCTTAGACAACTAGTTGAAGTTAATCTTAGAGCTAGACAGCAGCAATTTAAAACAAAAAGCCGCTACAAAATAAAGGTTTAAAACGTTTAATAATTAAATGAATTACATAGACTTGGGAAACGTTTAAACTTAGAATGCTGAACAATTGAAGAATACATATAATGCATACAGACTTACGAGTATATAGATATATATAGATCTAAAAGAAGAAGAGGAAAACAAATTACAATTATACAGAAACCTTGATGAGAATGATGTTCAAGTTGAATGCCTAAAATTAAACAATTAACGAAACAATTAATTAGAAATACGTTTTCAACCGTAATGGGTAAATGCAAACCGTGATATTTGTACTAGTAAAGGCGATGATTAGTTTGAGCATTAATTTAATAAATATATATATACATATATATATATATATATATATATATATACATATATATATATATATATATATATATATATATATAAACTTAAGCAGTATGAAATGAAGAGAAGCGGTAAAGAAGAAATCTAGAAAAAAAGGAAAAAGAAACCATTACAAATCCGGAAAAATCATATTCATTAAACTAGTTTTGTATATGCTTTATTTTAGTGTTGAACTTAAAGTCAAACTTGTGCACATATAAATGTTAAAAACATAACGAGAAGTATAGACAAAAAGCACATGCTTCAGCCGTGGCATGGACGGGGATTTGTTGTTCAGGCCTTAAAAGAACTACTATATAGGAATTACGGGCGCTTTTCTTAGAGTTGTCAGATTTCATAATTTGCTGTAGAGCAATTGTCGTGTGTGGGAAAACATTTTTTGCGAGTGTCTTGGGAACAACATACAAAAAAAAAAAAAAAAAAAAAAAAAAAACTTAAGAAAACAAAAAAGTGGAAAAACAATTGGTGTTTGTATCTATTGTATGTCTCTAGGTATACATATATATACACCTTAAGCAGTTAGCAATAACTTTTCAATTCGCTAAAACAATTTTATGCGCTCAACTGTTACGAAACCAACTTAAACTTCAATTAGCCAGACTAAACTAAAGCCCGAATAAATATCATAAAAGTAAAGAGAATTCTTGAGAGCTAAAATAGTAGCTAAAAATAGACCCAAAAAGGAAAAGCATTAAACTTGTTGCAAAAAATACAAATAAAAATAATTAAATTCCGAAAAGTTAAAAATTATTGATAAAGTATTAAAGTGCCTTAGAGAACGAAAATAAAAATAAAAAATAAGGAAAATTCAAATATAAATATATATTATTATAAATGATAGTTGTTGCGGCAGTGAATTGTATTTGAGTTGTATTTTTTATAACTAATTCACAAAACACCTTTTGTTGTGTTGGCTTAGCGGCATTTTGTTCAGGCCAAATTACATAAGTGGAAAAACGAACGATTTTCGTATTAAAACAGAGACAATTATTTTTGTATGTAAATAATGAATAGTAATATATATAAGCTATACACATATTGCATATGTATGTGTGCGTATGAGTATTTCAACAAATTAATTACTTAAAGAAGAGAACAGGAAGAAGGAAGAAAGTTTATTGATTGAATTGAAATTCAAGTTGCAGTTAGTCGAAGTCATGCCCAATAGTGAATGAGTCTTCTTATAGCTAGCCTGCCAATTTTTTATGTTTATTATTATAATTACTCCTATTATGATTATTATTATTATTATTCAATACAACGTATTATAACTTGGCAGTATATCAATTATTTAGGCCATAACTGAATTACAATCTAATCTTAGACTTAGGCCTCCATTATGTTCTTTTGACTTAAGCATTTGATTCGTTTCTATTTTGATTTTTCTTCACTGAGCAAGGACTATTAGCTGAAATGTAAAAAAGAATTCACAAAACTGATTTGAAATATATCTATGCATAAGTATTGTAAAAAAAAAAGAATAAAGAAAATAATTTAAAAATGAAATAATGCAATATGTTTTAATATTCTATATGATATTTATGGAAAGTAACTTAGACTTAATTTTGCGGTCTCTATTTTCTGTTATATTCATTTGTTTATTATCTAAATTTTGAAATATTTATTTATGGAGATTTCTTTCTTTAACTTTTTTTTGGTGGTTTTACTTTATTTTATATTTCAATTATCTATACATAAAATTATAATATGTTTATATTTTTCAATTATTATTACATTATTAATTTATTTACTTATTTTGATCTTTTTTTAAATATATAATTATTAACAATTAGTTTTAAACAAACTTTTTTATAAAATATTAAAATATTTGTTTATTTTATTATTAATTTTGTTATTTATTAATTTTCTATATTTTTAATTTCTCTTTTTGGTTCAAATATTTTTTTGTTTTTTTTTAATTAATAGTTTTTTTTTATTAACTTTATATTTACTTAACTATTTATTTATTATATTATTCGCCAGCAACTATTTGTTATTAGCCTTCTCTCTCTCTCTCTCTCTTTCTCTCCCTCTGTCTATCTATCTCCCACTCTCTCTAATTTATCAATTAATTTAAGTTGTTAAGTATTATTTTAACGTAATCTAACTGAAATCTCGAAATAAGTAAGTATATCAATAGATTCTCTAAACAGGTTTCTTAGCATTATTTGAAGCATATAATAGTTGCGTATTCAATAAATAGCTCATCCTTATCTTGCTGCTAATCTGATTGACAAACACCTTTTAGAATTAGTTTCCTGTGTGAGTTATATGCCGACAAGTTGTCTAAAATTCAAGAAGAGAAGCCACAAAAAATATCTAGAGCTGCTCACGCTGTGAGCTGGTTAGCTCAAGACCAGATTAGCCATGTCGAGTCTGACACAATGGTGTAGCCCCGCACTTGGCACAGCAGAGCCGTAGGCTTGAATGCTTGGATGTTCGCATGGGCGCAGCTTGTCTGCGTCCTTGACTTTAAGAGTTGTCGTGATCTTTTTTCTGGTTTTTTGACAGCTTTTGTTTTTGTGGCTTCAAAACGAAAATAAAAGTGCCAAAAATGCAAATTCAATCGAATTTACTTAACATAAATTAAGTAAAAATGTTTTTGATTAATACTAAGACAGTTGCTAGCTGCTCAGCTCAGCTGAAAACAACCTGTTGCTGGCATCTGACGCTGTTTAACTGACTCATCTCGAGCTTTTTGTTCGATGATTTGCTAGAAGCTTGCTGTGCGGCATTTATTTTACTGTTTCTGCTTGTTGTTGTTGTTGTTATGCGCTTTGGTTATTTATTAACATGTTTGTTTTTATTGCAACAGCACCAGCAAACGGACGGCAACGAGGCGACAAAAGCTGTCGCCGTCGCTGTCGCTGCCTCTGCCTCTGCCACTGTCACATACGTAACCCAAAGTAGAGAAGAAGATCAGCAACTGCGTCAGCCCGGATCGCAGCTCAACTCATGCTCATCAGTGTTGCCGTTGACGTCGCTTGCCATTTTACCAGTTAAGATCTGCGTTTTGTATCTATCGCAAAACAGTCGAAATTGTCTGCTCGTTGGCTGCACATCGCGCTCGCTGCTAGCCTCTCCAAACGTACACGTAGTGCCAAAGGACACTACACTTGAAGGATAACCACCTACACACACACACATAAACGTTCAATATGGCTAAAATTATTATCAGTGCTTTTTTGTGTCTGGCCATGTTTGGCTCGTTGGGTAAGTGCAAATCAAATTCCATACAAAATAGAAAAAGAAAAAAAAAAACGCTTCATACCGAAACGAAAGACTTAGGCAACAAACTTGTGCACATAAACCACTTAAAGCGTGTTTCGCTACCCACAGAATGCGTTTGACTCTCATTCCCCAATATCTTGCGTGCGTGTTCACACAAAAATCATACAAATTTCGTGCAATGTTGGTGAATGTTTATTTTTGCCTAAAAGCGTGTTAAATTCACTTTCATTACTTATTCATTAATTTAAAAATATTTCAATAAATTAAGAATTCATGATTGATAGTTTAGACGTGCAAAATGACATTATCAAAAATAAAATAAATTATTGCTGTTGTATATATTTGGATAAATATATAAATATAATAAAATATACAAAAATTAATCAATTAAAAACTTGAAATTGGAGATATGCATATATTATATATTTATATATTGCCGATTGTACATATATAGTATACATATATTTCTAAATCAGGTTATAATAAAATTGTTAATATTCAAGTCACATTTTTACTGAACTGGGTCTATTTAGATATTTATATAGTGTTTAGTGTTTGACATTAAGAAATAATAAATTCGAAGTGGAAGCGGTTAAATAAACAGATCCACATTATTTCTCAAATAAAAATATTTATTTATTATTAAATTTATTTAGTGGCTAAACATGAAATTCTATTGAAATTTGTTTGTGTATGAAACATTAAACTTTTTTTTATAAATATAAAGTCTTTTGCAAATCCTTAATTTTTAAAATAAATACATATACATTTTTGTGCCTAATTTTTAGGTAGCAGCCAGAAGTAAAATATTAAATTCTGTATATTTTTTTCGAAAACAGTTGTTAACAGTAAAATTCTTAAATATTATAAATGCTACTTTAGTAATTCAGCAGCAATATATGTTGAAATGAGACGGACAGACGGACAGACGGACAGACGGACAGACGGACAGACGGACAGACAGACGGACAGGGCCAAATCAACTCAGCTCGTCACCCTGATCAAGAATATATATACTTTGTGGGGTCTGCCACGCCTCCTTCTCCCTGTTACATACATTTCAACAAAACCATTATACCCTGATTTCCCATTGAAAATGGGTTCAGGGTATAAAAAAAAACAATTTTGCAAAATGCAAAATTTCCGCATAAATTTCAAAAATTTTTAATTTATCTTTTCTTCTGTGTAAATGTAAATTAAAAGTAATTTCAAGGCCGAATAGCCGCTCTTCAAAAATTAATTCACACGCCAGCAACAGCAACGCCAGCGCACAAATAAATTAGTACCAAAAAATCAATATTACATAACAATCGCTGGCCCAGCTACTTGTGGCCTGTTGTTGTTTCTTTATTGAATGTTTATTGATATGACCAGAAACTTGTTTTCGAGCAGCATCGCACAGCAGCAGCAGCAGCAGCGGTCCGCTGCTCGCATAGCTCGATCTCGTTGCGTGCCCAGCCGGTTGAGGTGACCTTTGAGCGCGTTTGCATTCAGCAGCTTTTTGTGGTGCTTCGTACTTCTTTTTGGTCAGCTTATTAAGTGTGATTTAACACGATGATGCTGTCGATGTGCGGCTCGTAAAGCGAAGCTATGAGATGGCATATGCGGAATCAAGTGGGCCAGCAATTGACTTCAATGTGTGGGAATATTTTTGCAGAAGCTGCAGTTTAGCTAAATAATTTGAGATGTTCGGTGAATGGAATTGTAGACTTTATGCATGCCATGAGTGGAGCTAGAAAAATTCAATTTAAGCAACAATAAATGCTGTTAAGCCATGTAAATTAAATGTTAGTCGTAACTATTTTTTTTTTTTTTTTTTTTGAATAATAAGAAATTGGTTTGTTTTTTGATGGGGTGCTCCAAATATTGCATTGTTTTTTTACTAACTACAACTCGAGTGTATTTGGATTCGATTTTGAGATCGACATCGATTTCTATTTACTATCTTATAATTTTTCCAAATATTCACTTCATGCGGAAAACCTTCAGAACTTTGTATAACTCAAGGACTTTAAAGGCAACAAACAACATTTTCCACTTCAAGTTTGATAAATATCTTTGTAGAGATTATGCAAAAACACGGAACCTATTACTATTGATGTTATGTTGGATTGATTACTGACAATTTGTTTATTCTCAACTTTTTATGGCATACAAATTCAATTCATTCAGCTTCTATTTATTCTGATAATCTTAATGGAATACCTTTGAAATTTGAGGATTGAAAATTTATTTATTTCTTATTTATTCTATAAGCTTAATTTATTTTAACTTTTATATTAACTTTTTAAATTTATTATAACTTTATCGATTTTGATTAATTAAATAATCAAAACTATCCCTCAAGCTGAATTAAAGTCGAATTAACTTTAGCTCTTTCAATATATAATAAACTAATTTGTGTAACTGTTTGGAGTTAGACTAAGCTCTTTTATAATATTCGCAAACAATTGTATACACTTTACATACTGCCTAAAACAGGGGCTTTCCCCCTGCAGTTGAGTACCAAAGGCAACGTAAAAAGCTTTTAAATGTGCGCTGTGTAAAGCATAATAGAAATTCCAAGCGACGGGTTCATCAAACGGGGTGTGTGCCTATCTACATTTAATAACCGCAAGCTCATTAAAATTTCATGCGTCACAAAAGTGCCGCCAAGAAATAATTGAACACACAGGTAAAAAGACAGATGGACAGACAAAGAGACAGACAGACAGACAGATGGTTGATCGTACTGAGATAACCAAATATGTTCACGTATTTTGACAATTTGTTAATGTTTTTCTGCTTGGATCGCACATAATGTTAACCCATAAATGGGTTAAGGGTTTCCAATAATACATTTAGTCTCTCTGGGTTCATAGAATACCCATCATATAGCGGACGTGCGTGTGTGGTGCTGGTGGCTCAAACACCACTTCGCCACGTTCGTTCTTATAGTCCGCATAGGCCACAGCGTGGATGCACTTCATGCCCAAGGCCTGCTTTTGGCGTGCCGAGTAGAAGCTCGTGCAGTAAGCAACAAACAAGGGGAATCCCATCGTGCGACCCACTTCCATTGCAGCTGTGGTGAGTCGCGTGCCCAGTCCTCTGCCTCTCATTGACCTTTCCACGGCGGTTATGTGTGAGTAGAGAACCCTGGAGACTCCATGCCTCTTGAAGATATTCACTTCCATTTCGATCTCAGACATGAACTTGTAGAATTTTCCGTACTTGTCTGCCATTAGTCGATGATTTTCCAGATCGCTGGGCACCTGAGCGCCTGCCAGCACCACACCGACAATCTTATTGCTCTCGCCCTCATCCACAGCCACGACACAGGTATTCTGCTCGACCATTGATAGGTGATATGCATCCTGCTCTTGCTCAAAGTGTGTCTGCATATTCTTACCAGAGATCATGCATAGTGGCTCGTCCACATAGAACGTTCTACCCAAAACTTCTTTAACCTCTTTCTAGTCGTCCAATGTCATGGGGCGAATGCGAATTCCATTTACAACACGCGGTTCCATTGGATTATTATGTCTCTCATAAAGATGGCATTAAACTGGTTGGCAAAACATTTATTAGTCACTATTTATATAGATGATTTGATTCGTGTGTATGTGTTTTATATTTTTAACTTATCGCTAAGTTTGTAAGACCTTGCGCTGGAAGTTATTCTTATCATATCACTGACCTTGTAAGGCTCAGTCTCTCACATATTCTGTTGCTGGGGTCGCTAGAGCTGGCGTTCAGCTGATTATTTATAGAATCCATAAAGTCGAGTGCGCATATTTGCATGGTCATGCCTAAACAGCACGTTTCTTCATTATTATCAGAATGAATGAATACTAATAATAAAAACAAGTAAGAAAGCTCTAGTCCTCGACTACGAAATCCCCTGAACCCTTCGAAGAATTGATATTTCATAATAATTCTTCGAGTCTCTGGCTTACACAAGAAATGCACACACCCACACAGAAAAACATAGGGATGCAAGAATACACACGCATTGTCAGCAGTGTGGGCTTACTATGGAAATTTAATTGTTTAATAACTTTCTTGTTAAAGAACTATGTTAATGAAACTTTAAGGTCATTAATATAACATTAAAGTTCGTGTATATGCCAAAGCACAAGTCTCTAGAAACTTTAAGGTCGTTAAAATAACATTAAATGCCAAAGCACAAGTCTCTAGTACTTGAAATACGCCTTTTACAAAGGTGAGGGTGAGGGGTCGATATAGGGGTAAGGGATAAATTACAACAAAAATTCAAATTATATAAAATACATATAAGTCTACATTTAAAATTTGGAAGCTCTAGCTTTAAAGGTGTAGGAGATATATAATAAAATATAGGGAGTAGTTATCGATATTTAGAGAAAAACTCGATATACGCGTGATATACACGGACCTAGCAAAAAAATGGTCAAGTCTCTAGCTCTTATATCTTCTGAGATCGACGGATTCATACATACGGACGGACGGACGGACGGACAGACGGACAGGGCTAAATCGACTCAGCTCGTCACCGTGATCAAGAATATATATACTTTATGGGGTCTGCCTCGCCTCCTTCTACCTGTTACATACTTTTAACAAAACCATTATACCCTGATTTCCCATTTTCAATGGGTTCAGGGTATAAATTTACCAAGAAAATTCTGTAATATATTTCGGCACTGAATAGTTAAATTAATCAGACATTTAAATTAAATTAAATAAATAAATTAATAAATAATAATATTTAAAAATAGTCTAGTTATAAATAAACATTTATATTAAATAAATTAAACATTTTTTTGTTGAAATTGAATTGAAATCGCTTCAATTTGTGAGAATTGCGTAGGAAGGCAACATATGAAAATATAAAAGTTGACCTGAGGGAATGTCAGTAACATTAATTAAATTATTTAAGATAATGAACAAATTATTTAATAAGAATTACTTTAACTAATGAAAATAGCATTTAGTCGAAATCTAATATATAATCGCATGTATAGTTAATGTTCAAAGTAGATAAGGGGGCGACGGGACTAACAACAAGAACTTATCATAGTGTTTTACGAACGGTTTGTTTGATTCAAAAGTGATAAAATGTAGCTGACAAATCTATTTCTTAGACCTGAATTGTATTTTGTTTAAAGTGCTCATTTGCTTAGAGCTGAAAAGCAGAGATAGTGCAAGCATCAGTTTTCATCATAAATCATTAGAGGTAAGCGCGTACCTATCCCAAGCCCAACCCTATTAACCCAATCAACCTATCCGCCTCTCTTGCAGCCCAAGCAGCAGCTGGCGCTTGCCGTGAGGCGAACGGTACTGCTCCGGTCGCCGGCTCCTGCGACGCCTACATCGAGTGCAAGAATGGTGTGGCCGAGGAGAAGCTGTGCCCCGACGGCCTGCTCTACAACGAGAAGTCCACCGGCTACCCCTGTAGCTATCCCATCGACGTGGAGTGCACTCAGCCTCAGGCTCGTCTGCAGGCGGCCCAGCCCACGGACGAGTGCCCCCATCAGTTTGGCTACTATCGCATGGGAGATGCGAGCCATTGTGGCCAGTTCATGAACTGTGCGGCGGGTCGCGGCTTTGTCTTCGACTGCCCCGAGGGCCTAGCCTGGAACCCGGCCACCTACAAGTGCGACTGGCCCGATCAGGTGGAGGATTGCGATGCTGAGGCCTTCCTCGGCTTCCGTTGCCCACCCCTGGCGCCCAAGTCGGATCTGCTGGGCGAACAGGAGCAGGACTATACCTTCCATCCGTCGCAGGAAAACTGCCAGGTGTACTTCATCTGCATTGAGGGTCGCCCACGTCGCATCGGCTGTGGCGAGGACCAGGCCTTCAACCAGGAGCTGAACCAGTGCGACGACATCGACAACGTGCCCAACTGCAGCAGCGACATTCGTGCCAAGGGCGCTGAGATCAAGGCGGCGCGCGCCTCAGCAGCTGCCGGTCGTCGCAAGCTGAACTAAGCGAGCGGGAGGGAGAGCGAAAAGTTGAATCAGATTCTAGATAGGCAAAGCATGCACAAGGCGCTGCTCGAGTTTTCTAGTCTGTAGTTAAAGGGCGGCCAATGCCCATTTATTGTATACCTTTTGCCATTCACAATAAACAGTTGTCATTTTTGTAATCCGTTTGTAAATCAAGTCTTTCGTTTTGTCCCAGTTAAAAAGTCGCAGAAATTTCCGATCCTCTTTCAACTCTTCAACTCTCTTCTACTTTTAGCCCTTGGCTCGCCCGAGTGTCCCTCGCCCAACGGACGCTTCGCATCCGGTGACCAGTGCGATGCCTACACGGAGTGCCAGGACGGTGTGCCTGTGGAGAAACTCTGCCCGGACGGACTGCTCTTCCACCAGCGCACCAAGTCGACGGGCGAATGCACCTATGCGCCCTACTCCACCTGCAAGGAGCGCACTCGTCTGCAGCCTGCGAACGGCACAGAGGAGTGCCCACGTCAGTTCGGCTTCTATCCGAATGGGGATGAGACCAAGTGCGGTGTCTATCGCAACTGCGCCCATGGCGTGGCCAGCCTGACCAAGTGCCCCGAGGGCTTGGCCTTCAACGAGGAGACCTACCAGTGCGACTGGCCCGATCTAGTGGCCAGCTGCAACGCTGAGGCCTATCTCGGCTTCAACTGCCCCGCGTCGGAACTGGTCGATGGTGTTGCTCCCGAAGTGGATGTCAGTCCCGAGGGTGAGCTGCGCTACTATCGCCACCCGCAGACGTGCAAGAAGTATTTCGTCTGCGTCAATGGACATCCGCGCCTCTACAGCTGCGGCAAATACCTGGCCTTCAATGCCCAGTCGAAGCTCTGCGACTTCTACAGCAAGGTGCCCGAGTGCTACGCCCTGCTCAAGGAGAAACAGAAGCTGAAGGCCGAACGCAAGGCCTTGCTGTAAACCCTATATATCGGGAGTAAAGAGTTGAAGAGGTAGAGGCTGACCCTCAGAGAGGCTGACTCGCTCCTTTGTAAGTGAACAGACTTGTGCAGCTTTGTTTCATAGACACCTATCCTTACCCACTAGCATAGCGTATATTTGTCTATTGAATAAAATAATAAATCTACACACTAACGTCTTTTGTAAAAAAGTATTTTTACTGAATTTTGTCAATTATTATATTCAAATACTAATCCATTCGAAATACACAATGGAGTCCGTGTCCAGTGAGCATCGTCAAGGATTGGACTACGCAATAGTTATTATCATACACATTCGTTCTTGCTCTGAGCAAGAGATTGGTTTAGTCGTGCTAGTGTCTGTTGGGCGCTTTGAGCTCAGCTATTCGTGGGACGCTCTTTTAACGAACATAGTTTGGGGGGATACACGATTGACGTTCGTACGTTGAGACTCAATAATCGAGCAAATACATATACGTAGTGCCTTGCTTAGAGCTCAAAAAGTCTATGCAGACTATGCAGACTTTTTGAGCTCTAAGCAAGACGGTTTTCACAGGTCTTCACAGATCTTCAGATCTTGGTGGAATGCTGCTCTGGCTGTTATACTCTGAACTGTTAACAAAACGAAATATGCTAGCTAATAGTGAGTTAACATGACATTGTTAATTAAGAGAAATTGTAGATACGTTGTTACTGGCATAATTTTATTAGACCACTATTAATGAGCATAATTCTGTTAGCTCGTTATAAAATGAGAGCGAATTAACAGTGTACTGTACTGCACTGTCAACTATATGTTTTCACCCTACAGCTCATTTCTGCTCGCCTGGTACTTTACCAGAATTCCTATTGAAGTCTAAGCAGCACCAGGCGCACAGAAGTGAGTAGTAGAGTGTAAATAGCATAATTATGTTAGCTCACTGTAAAATGAGAGTGCAACTATTTTATTTTCAGCTCTAGTTTAAATATAAATCGGCTGTAACAGCTGAAAGTTACCTCAAACTCAATACCTCAATAACTGCATTAGGCAAACTTATGGCTATTCCAATGTCGATCCAATTTTTCAAATCTTTTATATGACTGACGTTAATCATAGGCGATAATCTTCTTTTGCCTTTTCGAACTAGTTGATGGAATTTCAATGGCAAATTCAAAAATCTTTCAGATAAAATAAAATACACAATTGTTTAGGTTTGTAAGATTTAAATTTTATTTTTATCATTGTTGGTTTTTGGTTTATTAGTTAGTTTTTACTGCTTGCTTATTTTGTATTATTATAATTAATTGGTAGATTAGTTCGAATTACTTTATTTAAATTTTACATAGTTTTCCGACTGCCAACCTTTTACACACATATGTAGCTATGTGTAAATATATATATATGTATATATTTATTAGAGATTACTTTAAACTTGACTCATCTGCCGCTGCTATACAACATCATTTTTTTGTTTGTTTAAACAATTCCAGTTTAGAGAGAACTAATGTTAAATTAATTTGTTTTACATTCAATTTGTTGTTTTGCTTCTTTTCCTTTTAGTTTTTGAAATAAATCTAAGCTCGAATTTTTGTTATTAAAAACATGTCTCTGTTATCACTAATTAACCAATTGATTTTTGTAAAATTTATTGGAGTTGCTTAAACTAAACGATCCTAAGATCCGGCTATTATTCCATCTCTACCTCATTTCGTTTCTTGCTTTCGCGTCATTTCTTTTTTTGGCTATAAAAATTAAGTTACATTTTTTTGTTTGAACTTTTTGCACTATTTTTTCTGCATGTGTGTGAGTGAGTGAATGTGTGTGTGTTTTTTAAATTACAACAAATAATTGATATTTAAGTTTAAGTATTTTGCATTAGAGTACGATTTTTTGTTTGGTTTACAAATTTTTTCTTACCGTTGCAATTTGTTGTTAGTTTTTGTTTTTGTTTTAGTTTCGTTTTGTTTGTGGTGCTAGGCTAAGGCGACTTTTGTTTGGTTGTTTCACTTTGTTTTTTATGTTTTTCATTTGTTTTCGTTTTATGTGTTTTACATTTTGCAATATATTCTTTTCAACATTAGTTTCATCTTTCTCTACTGTCTCTGTTCCTGTTTCTGTTTCTGCTGTCCATCGTCCAGTTGTCTCTGTTTTGTTTCCTAATTGTCTCATTCCTCGTTTTGATACAAAAACATTGAATTTGCATTTGATTATCGAAGGAGAACCGAAAAAGTCGAACAGAAAACTCTGGCAAAACGTTTATTGATTGCAAACAAAAATGAAAACAAACAACAAATTATTAAAATTAAAATTAATTATCTTTCGTTTCGTTAAGTCGTTATAATTTGTGCTAGAAATTCGGCTATTAAAATTATTTATGTTCTTACAACGCCTCCAAATACACTTTTTGTTTTCTTGAGAAAAGATTTACACATTGTTTCGTTACATTTTCATTTCGTTTCGTTTCGTTTTTGTTATCGTAATTCGTATCGTTTTTTTTTATACTTCTTTTGTTTTTCATTTAACATATTCAGTCTTTCAGCTTTCAACATAAATAAATTAATTAAATTAATTTATTTAACTGCATTACAAAATGTTTCAAGTGCTGCTGCCTGTAAATAATTTCGTGTTCTATTGCATTTATGTGGTAATTTCCGTTGTCTGCCTTACGTTGCGCTCATTTTAAAGTTTATAGCCAAAAAGTTGCGACTTTTCGCAATTGGAGAAAATTTTGAAAAAATTTCTATCCTTAGTCGAAGTTGGTTGTAAAAGCCAAAAGTTTTGCTTGCTTGATTAAAAGTACTTAACTTAATGCTAGGTTTTTTTTTCTTCTTATTTTTTACATATTTATTGTAATAATTATACATATATATTCAAATATATATATATGTTGGAAATATTTCATTCATATCATCCCAATCTATCATCATCGTCATCTTCTTCTAATTATTTTACGTCTCTTAGATGCGCTGCGCTGTCTCATAAACTGCTTAGTCTTTCGCATTCGTTTTTTTTTCCGTTGCTAAATTTAAAAACTTTTCAAGTGGACGTTCGCTGGCTTCAATTTGGATTTCCATTTTCATTTCGATATCGATTTTCATAAAATTGTTTCTTTTTGCGGTTATTCAAAAATGTTTTTTGCTTAAATTTAATTTTCATTATTATATACTCGTATCGTATGTATAGTAAATATATAAAATTTTGTGTCCAAATTTAGTTGTTTTTAGGAGTTTTCATTTTCGCTTTTTAAACCTGAAACTTAAATAATTCTTCAGAGCCTCAGATCGCAATTGGAATGAAATCACAAATATTCTGAATCTTAATCGGCTTTTTAGATATTTTTTGTATTTTTTTCTTTATTTTTACTTTTTTGTATTTGTAACTTTTTGGGTGGGGCTTACGTTTATCATATGCTATATAGGTATATTTTCTTGATTCCTTCATCGCTCAACAGAAAAAATTGTTGTCCAACTGATTTATTTTATATATTTTTTTAAATACTTTTTTGTTAGCTTTTCTTACTGTAAGTATAACCGGTCTCTTGTATTTTTTGTTAAGGCAACTGCTTTTTTGTTACAGAATTTGTAATTTGTATTTGTAATTTCTTGTTTTTTGTTTTCTTTTGTTTTTCTTTTTTTTTACATGTGAAACTGCATTTGAATTTGAATTTTGTTGCTCAAGTTTTGCTATTTGAAAGAAATGGATAAATAGAGATAATTCTTCTTAAAGCATATCATAAGCTGCCAAAACGTGTTTTCATTTTAGTTGGACTCCTAAAAACAACGAAACGTTTTTTTTTTTTGTTAGCTTTTGCCATACGCAAAATTTTGCTGTGCCTTAAATTTTAGTCTTTTTTTTTTTGTTTAGTGGAATTTTCGTTTATCAATATTCTACAGATTTCATATATTAAATGTTTTGGTTTGTTTTTGTTTTAGCCATCAAATTTTGTAATTTCTTAATTTAGATTAAAATACTTTTTATCGTAAGTCGAAAAGAAAATATTAAGTGCTTAATTTTGTTGCCTAAATTTAATGCAGTTTACAATGCGCAAATCTATTTTTTTTCCTTTTTCTTAAACGCATTTTTATTTTCTTTTTGGCATGTTGTTGCTGCCTGTTTACTTAAAATAAGTGTTAAAATTATGCTGTATACTTTCAACAATCTATTTTTATAAGGGGAAAAAATGAAACAAAAACAAAGATTTTAAATTGTATAAAACTTTAATGCAGTTTTTGGTTAATTCATAAATTTAAATTTAATACAAGTCAAAAACTTAACTTTAATAAAAAATGTATAATAATATGAAATTGTTTAAAGCAATATGAAAATCAACAAAAATCTGTACTTTAATTATACTAAATGAAAACGTAAAGCAAATTATAGAATTATAGAAAATATCGTTAATGGAAAACTGTCACTAAGGATATATAATATTCTCTGTTATATATCGTATAAACTTCTTTAGTCCATTTGGGCGTCGCTGTATTAATGGAACTTTCGCTTTTTGCCGCCACGTTTCTTGCCCTTGCCGCGTGTCTTGGCCAACTTGCGTTTTCTGCTTGAGCCATCGCCACGCAGCGCCGACTCGCGATTTATCTCGCCGAGTATCTCATCACCCAGAGTACCTTTAACGAGATAATCACTGCAGATATATAACTGACTTGCGTATAAGCTATTGCTGTCACTTACCCAATGTGGTGAGCTTGCGTTGACGATGCTTCTCGGCTTTGGTCACTGGCAGACGCATCAAGTAGGTCTCCTCGTACTCCTGCTTCTCCTTCTGCGCCTGCGAGAGCAGCTGCTGGGCACGCGAGCCCGACGACAGCTCTGTGGGCGCATCCAAATACTCCTCCTTCAAGTCCTGCAGCATCGATGAACTGGAATCGAACTGAATTAGTGAGAGTTTATTATGCAGGCGTGTTAAGTGCGTGTCTCTTACGTGATGGCCCGCTTCTTGGCACGATCCAGGGCCTTCTTCTCTTTGTCTGCCTCGCGCTCATCGCCATCGTAGTAGACGGGCTTGATGCGTGGCGGCACATAGATGCCCGATTTGCCAGCTGTGGCCGCTTTGCGTGGCTTTTTCGCAGCTCCTCCTCCTTCTTCCTCATCGTCCTCCTCCTCCTCGTCACTGTTGCTGGCTGCCCCATCGCCATCGTTCGCCTCACCATCAGCGCCTGCAGCACTGAGCATGTCCTCCGGATTTGGCTTGTAGAGTAT